ATGTAGTGTGGTGACACCCCCCCCCCAAACCCCCCGCGCAGAGGTGGGGGGGTGTGGATTTTGGGGGGTTGCAAGGCACACCCTTCTTAAAGATGCCAAGGTTGAGAAACACTGCTCTAGAGAAAGATGATCATACTGGGTGGAGCTGGTTACAGACCCCCATTAATCAGAAGGTAAAGTGTGAATGTGTTCCCTTCCACCCTCCACCCACCGCCAAGAGTTTCCGAGCCCCTTCGCCTTTTATTTCTTGGCAGGAGACACATTTCCAGACATGGCACTGGGCCAACCCCCCTCTACGATGATTTTCTAAGACACTTCTGAGCACAGGCAGGTTGGGACAGAAGAGAACCACCCTTCTTGGAAATAAAGGTGGGGCTACCCCTTGCTTTCAACATGCTTGCTTCCCGTTTCGAGTTCCATGAAAATCATCTTTGCAAAACGCAGGACAGAAAATCAGGAGAGCACCAAGGGAGGGATCTTGGGGAAGGTCATACCCTAGAAAGCTCTTTCTCTTTTCTCAGATGACTTCTCTGTTTTGCCTTTCTTCTCCTTCCCTCCTGCACTAGGAGGACTCTCCTCCCATCATTACTGCTCTGGGCCACCATCTCCCCAATGTCTTTTTGTAGCTTCCTTCTCTCTGCACATCACCTAGGCTTTTTAAACAGACCCGATTACCCAAGACATCTAGAGAAAACCACGTTTCTCCAACCCACAGGGGCTAGATCAACCTTTCCCAACCTGGCACAGTCCAAGGTTGCTGGTGAGGCTGGCTGGGGATGATGGGGGCTGTAATTCAGCACTTCTAGAAAGGCCCTGGATTGAGGTTAGGTGGTCTGCAACCCATCCTGACGTCCTGAATGTTGGAGGTCTTTTGGTTCAAAGCAGAAAACCAGAAAGCTTGGGTGGGTGGGGGGAGCGGATTAGCATTTAAATTACAACAATTAAGCTTTAAATCAACAATTTGAAAGAGACTCATTTAAATGATTAAAAGCAAGGCTGCCCGCTGATATTTTTTCTGCGAATTGTGCTACTGAAGCCTGTTACTTTACAACTGAGCAGAGCAGTTAGGTAGGCAATGGTTCATTCTTATCCTCAGTCCTGCTTTTTCCTTCCAATGCGTGCTTCCCTTCGCTGCCCATGGAGGAGAAATCCGCAGGAGATTTATGAAGTTCCTGCAGACGGAAATGGATTTCAGGAGCGCAGAAAGGGCTGAAGCGCAGAGAGAGAGGTCTGAAGAGATGGAAATGTCAGAGGAGACCCAGTTTGTAAATCTTTCCTCTCCCTGCAGCTTAATCTCACCTGACATAGGGATTCTATAAAAGAAACGTGGTATTCTCCATTTTAAAGTTTGAAAAAGGACTGATAGCAAACCCATTTTGGTTTTTTAAATCCTGCCTGGATTTGGCTGGCTTCCTAGAAGTTTGCAAGCAAGCACAGTTGTCCTCTGCCACAGTCTCAGTGAACAAGTTGTTATGATGATGATGACAATTGGTTGCAGTCAGCCAGATGTTTAGACTGGATTTATCCACCTATTGAGTCCTTCCCAAGGACCTGGGATAGGCAGATGTTGTCGTTGGATGGTGTTCAAGGTGTCGCAGGATGGAAGCTGTTCCAGGTAAAGCTCCTTTTGCAATGGACTGGTGGTGATTTTGTCAATGCTGATGGTCTTCCAGTGGTGCTCCAGATATTTTGGGATTGCACCCAAGGCGCCTGTAACTATTGGTACTACTACTACTAGTTTTATTATTATTTTATATTTATTGGCCGCCCATCTCCAGTGGACTCTGGAGTTCTTCCAGAACTGGAGGAATGTCTGCTTAGTGCAGGTTGAGAGATTTCATCCAGCACTTTTGGAAATGTCAGCATATTGGGGTGGACTCATCCAATGGCCACCAGAGTTGCATCTTACCGATTCATAAAACAGCTGCTGCAGTGTGTGTGTGAGACCAGCCACAAAATGCCCCGTTTTTGTTTTTTTCTGGACAAGCGAGCACATTTCCAAACAAAGCCATCCTTGTTTTCTGATAACCATGGAGTTATTCTTATAAATCGTCTTGTTCTCATTATTTGCATGTTTATTTCACTGTTCCCTCAAAATTCAAGGTGGCTTACCAGGGGGTCTCTCCTAATATAATCCCCACAACAGCACTGTAAAGTAGGCTGAGTTGAGAGGAAGTCACTGGACAGAGCCACTCAGTGGCCTGAGCATTATGGTCCAAGTGGAAAGGTAAACCGACAGGTGCCCAGCCCAATTCTAGCTTCTTAATCACTACAATGCCGATAACATTGCATTAAACTGCCTCAAATACAGGTGTCCGTGGGGGTGGGGTGGTGTCCAAAAAGTCAAAATGGTGGCCAAAATCATGGGATTGAAGCCCTGTCCCCAGAATTTACCCTTTTTTCCTGATTTGCACAATACACTAAACCCAACAAGTTAGATTTGTAGAACACAGCCAGTAACATACCAACTAGAGTTCACACTAACCAAGCTTACCATGTCAGACAAATGCACTTGCTAACTCTTGACCTGACCTGGTTCAGCATGTTATATGAACCCAGCCAATAGCTCTGATCTTGCCTGGACTTCAAATTGTTCGGGAACATCTTTCCTGTGACTCTAGAGCAGAGTTTCTCAACCTTGGCAACTTTAAGATGTCTGGACGTCCACTCCCAGAATTCCCCAGCCAACAAGTTTTGAGCGATAGTTGAACTTGCTAATCGAGCCATCAGTCAAAACTCCTCAGGTCCCATCCCACAATGAGGAAAGACTGTTGGATGTTCTGCTAGTTGAAGGAAGGAAACAACACCAGAGGAATTCCCCCAGCCATTTCTTTAACATGCTTTGCACATGGTAGATGAGGCCACCACATTTGACAGCAATCCAGAACAGTGGCTAAATTGGCAGGACAGGGTTTGGCAGCCTGCAGGAGAACATGGCAGTGATGCTCAGCTTCTCTGCCAACATCCTGTGGCTCATTTGAAACAAAACGCTTTATAGGTTGCCAAAAAAGAAAAGAAAACCTAACCCAACCCAGGTTCTGATTAATAGATGTGGATTATGGGGGCTGAGTACTTTTAATACCAATCCTAGTGATAAGGCTGTAGGAACCCTGAGACAAAGGGAAACTCCAGATTGTCTTCACTCAGTGACTCCGAGAGACTTCAAGGATAACTCATCCTGTTTTCTTTAGGCATAGTAAGGAAGTGATTTGCCACTGTGTCCTTCTGGAATGTTTTTTTCGACTTTCTGATCTGGCATTTCTGGAAGTCTCCCATCCAGTTACTAACTAGCTGGCACCAGCTGGGATATTTTGGGAGGATTATCTGGAAGACGCGGCTGGCTAGGTCAATTTATGGATGGGGACAAATAATTTATCAAAAGGAGTTCTGGGTTTCTTCCCCTCAAAAGAGAACTCCATCTGGAGGTTAGACATTGAGTGCATTCACATAATATGCTTAACCTGGGTTATTGAGTTAACCCATTTCCTGGATTCCCACAAATGACCTAATTATAGCCCAGCTGGATTTGCACAGCACATAAAAGCCATCTAACTGTGGTTGCCCCTAACAAAGCTTTACATCTGCAAATGCACCTGCTAGGTCTTTATCTCAGCTGGTAAAGGATGTTATGTGAATGCAGCGATGTATAGCAAGAACTTGAGTTAGCAAAGCTTTCTCCAAAGGGGCCTCATCCTGCAGATCCCCTTCCTGCTGTCTGAATTTCCATTCCTATAATCCTGGCCCACATCCTCCCACTAAGTGAGCCATTGTATCGAGAGCAAAAAAGCAGCAGTTGCACATTCATCTTACGCTGCATGGGGCCAGAATCAGGCTCCCAAGAAGTAAAAAATAAAAACAAAAAATAGAGAGAGGCAGCTGCTACAGCAGAAAACAGGAGGAGGTCTGGTCCTCTCATTAGGGGGCTTGAAATGTTCCTGGATATGTGAAGATTTAAAAGTTTGGCTCCAAGGTTATGATCAGCCAGGGAGACTGCTGAATGGAAGACCAGCCTATATAGCTGCAAGGTTTTGCTACAGCTCCCGCTGATTAAGTCTGTTCTTCCCCCGCCCACTTCTCTGGCTGATATTTTTTGTTCCTTCAAGTCATTGTTGACTCCTGGCAACTGCCTGGACTACTCCCTGCAGTTTTCTTGGCAAGATTTCAGAAGAGGTTTGCCCTTGCCTCCTTCTTCCTAGGGCTGAGAGAGAGAGACTGGCCCAAGGTCACCCAGCTGGCTCTGTACCAAGGCAGGACTAGAACTCACGGCCTCCTGGTTTCTAGTTTGATGTCACCACTACACCAAACTGGCTGGCACCCATCCTTCCCTTTCAGGATATTTGTCATCTGGGCCGAGCCAATGAACAAGCCAGGCCCGGTTCCTGCAACCCTCCGTGGCTTAGATACACACCAGACACTCCCTGGTTTATAATATAACTCTATTTGTATTCTTTTCTGTAATTAAATTAATATAGATATATATATAAAAATCTTCGGTATGTACATTTCAGAAGTCATCTCTTTTTTCCTCTCCTCTGCCTGTGGATTCAAGCATCAGTGGGTTCCACAGAGAGAGGAAAGCGGAAGGGAAGCAGTTCAGAATCCCTTCCCTGGAATCTGGAATTCCGGCAGTGGGGAGGAAGGGGGCTGCCAGGCTCAGTAGCTCAAGAGATCCAGTGTTTGCTTTATTCGGGCACCACGTATCATAAAGTCACACCAACAAAACCCCAAACGCCTTCAACCTTATCCATTTCTCTTAAACAGAGAGCTAGTCATACACAGTCCGGCTGGGCAGTGCTTAAGACTTGAAGGGGAAGATCCGGAGCGTGCAAAAGGACGCCCAGAGGTCTCAGCACCTGCGTTAGGAAGTTGCCCACAGAGGCCATGAGGCGTCCATGCATGCCACAAAGTTCCTTTTTCCTTTCAAGCCTGAAGTGTAGCACAGTGACAAGACTGAAGAATACGTAAGGAAGACAGGTGCTAAACCAGCTCCTTCCAGGTGGGGTGGCCCAATCCACCTGCAGAGCTGCTGGGAACAGGTTAATGAGGTCTTCAACTATGCTTGGAGATGGCCCAGGGGAGATGCATGAGCCTTGGGGTACAAGTGACCTGTACTGGGAAGTTGAGATGAGCAGAAGGTATTTTAAAAGACCCACATGAATATCACCCCCCGCCCCGTCTCCATCAACCTCCCTCCTCCTCATCTGACTAGCTCTCACACCAAGGTGGAGCAGAGCTGCTGGACAGTGGGACGATGGGAGAGTGGGGAGGTAAAGTCTTGAATGAACCCTGAGACCAAGAATGGGGCAAATGGTGCAGCTGTCTATGGGTGCACATCCAAGCACAGGGGCCCAGCTTCAAGGTTCAGGATGGAGATCTCCAGTTATTCCAGGAATGGACGATCCTGTTGAAGCAGTCGCCATGGGTCTCCAAGCTGGAATGTGGAGTGAAGGCCTCCACAGAAGAGGTCCAGCTGCCACAGAAACAGTCAAGGCACGGCAATGTTGAACTGTCTCTTGGTTGGCAGGATCTGCTCCATCATCACTGGCATTTGTCATCGCTCTCGGAAGGGCTGGACTCGCGAGGAATGGAGTGTCTTTGCCTCCGATCCCACAGCTGGTGGATTTCAGTGGCCTCCATCTCGCTGCTGCTGGTCGTGCTGTCCCGGAAGCTAGCCAGTGGGGGCCGCACCTTCACGCCTTTGGCAGTGACCGAGCCCTCAATGGCTTTGCGCAGCTGGAAGAGAGGAAAAGGAAGGGATGAAGGGCGACATCAGCATTCATCCAATCCATATTACCTACTCTGGCCAGCAGCTGATGTCCTAGGCAGCCTTTCCCAAAAATTGCTCACAAGGCACTCTGGACTATGACTCCAGTCCAACCAGACCAGCACAGTGGCTGCTATTGGGGAAAATTCTAGTCCCAAACATCTGGAAATTGCTCGGTGGGGGGAGAGAGATGGTGAAAAGCAGGGGACCACATAAAATCTCCTGCTTTTTTGTTTAAGGGGTGGTACTGGGATCCAACCTGGCTTTTATATGTATGCAGAGCACATCAGTTGCCACCAAGTCCCCAACCAGACCTATCTTTGTGAGAATTTGCTAAAGAGAGGGCAGAAATGCAGAGAATGTAAAGATGCATCCATCTTCAATAGACAGAGCCAGGACAAGTGAGAAAAGTCCAGGACTTTTCTTCATGGGGGCAGTGCTGTAAAAAAGGATGCAAAGGATTTGGGTATGAGTTGGTATAAATTCTGTGCCATTTTCCCCACCCATCTGAAGACTGTAAATTGTCTTAAACAGATGCTGCCATGGGTCAGAAAAGCAAAAACAGACAAGCAGACAGCACTCCTTTCATTAGTGCCCCCCATCTTCAGAAAGAGAATTAGCAGAAATATTGAAATTGCTTGTCCCTGAAACACTGCCAGATGAATATAGGGCAACATTTCATGAAGAAACTAGTGGTCACTGAGTTCTTTGGACTGATTAATTCTTGCCTCCTAATACAGAGAGGCAATTTAGTTGTGAAGGCCAACATTCACTACATCTTATCTAAGAAATAAAAAATACAGATATAAAGATGTAACAAATGTTTGCAACCACGAAGCAAGTAGGTCAAGATGACATGACTGAACTTCCACGGAGCTGTCTAACAAGAAAATCTTTTAAAGCATAATAACTTAGTAAAGTTATGAAAACTGACATCTGCTTGCCAGAAGAAAAATCCCCTTTTAATGATTTTTAATGATGCTGATGTTAGAATTACAAGATAGCTGTCTGATACACTCTCCTCAAGCCAGAGGAGAGAATTGCCTAGGCTTTAGTAATGAATGAAATATTTTTTAGGTTAGCTTCCTTCACTGAATTTGTGCTGTCTTTACATACTTTACATATGTTAAGTAAGCTTATGCTGTATCTTGAATAAGATTAAAAACGATATTGACTCTATATCTTCTTCTTTTCAGTTACTGATCCTTCAAACTTTGAGTAAGATGTTCTCGCTCAAAATGGAAGGACTTATTTGGGGATTTTATGATCCTTGCAATAGCAACTCTCAAGGTATCTGCCTTAAACACATTTGGGTGGGATATACAATACCCAGAAAAGGCGTAACTCATGCCACTACTGTTCCTGTGCACAGTAAAGAAATATTTCCTGGTTGACTCATCCTAGACACAAGGAGAAATACTGGGCAGACTAGAATATACTGGGCAATTCCATGCCCAGCGTTCCTTCCTATGCCAGACTCCCTCCAAAGTCAAGGACAGTGTTTTTCAACCTTGGCAACTTTAAGATGGGCGGACTTCAACTCCCAGAATCCTCCATGCTGGCTGGGGGATTCTGGGAGTTGGTCCACCCATCTTAAAGTTGCCAAGGTTGAAAAACACTGATGTAGGATGACTCAACTATAAAACATTTCTTTACCACATACAGGATACGGCACATTGGACAAAACCACCTCTGAAGTGTCGGTGCGCTTGGGGTGACCTTTCTACAAGATACTCACCTCCTTGAGGGACACCATGCCAATCAGGCGCCCGATGCTGGTGACGTATGCGTGGTCCACTCCCAAGAGGGAGAAGATGGTGTGTGTCTGGAAGAGATGGGAACAGGGTCAGCTGGGCATCGCAGCATCTAGGAAAAGGGCACCAACAAGCTCCACCCATATCTTCACATCAACGCAAGGGGGTCTTTGTCCAGGGCACACGGATGCCAACAATACAACAGAGGCTACACTCTCTGCCATTCCTTAGCTTGGACCGAAAGCAAATAATGGAGGAACAGATATAAGAAGCATAAAACCTTGGATGCTGTGTAAAATACGGAGAGAATAGAGGGTTTCCATCCTTCTTGCAGTGTTAAGAAATAGGGATATCTATTAAAACTAAATGTAGGTGCAGAGGGGTCAAAGCAGTCAAGATGGCAGCTACCACATGAAGTTGAAGCCTCAGCCCCGTTTTACATGTGTTGTGGCTGCATGGTTGTGGCCACCATTTTGACTTTTTAGACCCCCCTCCCTACAGACACCCCTGATAGGAAGATTCAGGACCAATTAAAGGAAGTATTTCTTTACACGCCATATTCTTAAATGGAAGAACTGGCTCCCAGTGGAGGTGGTAGGTGATTTAGATGGCTTTCAAAGTCATCTTTGATGGCTTAGCTGGGCAAAGTCCTGGAGGATCAAGTTATTGATGAAGGTTTGCCTGGATGGCGTTTACTAAGGCTGTGTGGTGCTTTGGATCCAATCTCCAAAAGATGTTTCAGAGCACATAGAAGCATAAATGTCCAACTCCTTAAAGCATCCATGTCTTCCACAGCTGCTGTGCAGTTCTGGGAAAAGAGGTGGCTGCTTTAATGTGCTGCAGACAGGTGTCCTGCTCACATGCCCATGTGTTTGAAAGCAATGCAGAGAGCCCTATGAACCACACAAATTAATAGTTTGGCATACGTTTCCCTTATTTTGCAAGACCGATCACTGGAAGAGCTGTGTATGAAATTAAGATTTTTTTTCTTTCCCCTTGACCCGTCTGAAATACAGCTTGGATTAAGCTTCCTTGGGCTTCCAAGATTTTGCTAGAAATGCCTACCAAATGTTCAAGCTTTTTCTCACAGCTACAAAGGCTAGAATCTTAACTTTTAAAACCAGTCAGAGAAGTGGAGAAAGGCTGATGCTGTGTGATGAATGAGCAACTTGTCCAGCTCTGCTTCGGCTCCCACAATCTACCTTGTGCAAAGAAGTGCGTTCTACCAACTGGAAGGGTGCCGGATCAATCTTGCAGTTATTGAAGTTGACCAACTGGTCAAGTTGTCGCTCCTCCCATTCCAGAATCTGCAAGTTCAGGACGTATGTTAATGTAGCAGAACTCAAACCAGATCACATTTATTTTTATTACATTTATATCCCCAATATTTTCCCCAGATGAACAGTTCCAAAACTGTTATATGATTCTCCTCCTCATTTAAATTAGGTAGAGAGATAGTGTCTGGGTCCACACAACATGCTAAACAAGGCTAAAATTGTGATTTGTTAATCTGGGTCTAAGATTTAACGTATTAAAGGAACTGCCATGGACTGGCCCCAAGTCGCCCTCTGAAAATCATGACCGAAGGGATCTAAAACTTGAATCTCTCCTGTTTTAATTTTAAAATCCTAATTATTGCACCACACTGACTTTGGAAGATGTGACTGTTTTCAGATAATACACTTCACTTGGTTCCTGAGTTAGCCTATTTGGGATTTTCATAATCTATGGGATCATAAACTAACCACATTTGCATAAGTGAAGCCACAGAATTTTTAAAAAAGCAACTCTAATCAAGCTTTGCAAGTTATGTGAATCATCTGCTAGGTCTTTATCTGGCCAGCTAAGTGTTTTGTTTGATCGCAGCCAATGTGTGAATAATTTAAAGCAGATAGGTGATTAAGAGGAAGCCTATCTGGTGCAACCACAGGCAAGCCTTGCTAAGTAAATGTCCAGCTCTTAGCAACAGATAAGACAAGCCACCTCCAAGGCTTCTGCTTGTTAATTATTTGCCTTAATTCAGAGAGACGCAGAGATGGATTACTAGGTATCGAGATCTTTATGGACAGCGAATATCAGATCGTTCCCAGTATTTCTTGATTAATGCAATTGCAGCAATCTCGTGCCCTAGTAATGGCAGAGGGCCTATTTCGCACACGGTCCAAGGTTCAATGCCCTGCCTCTCCAGTTCAGGAAGAATCAAGGAAGGGGAGATGTGGAAGACCCTCGCTTCAGATGCTAGAAAGCCACAACTGAGCCGATTTAGAAAAATGCTGTCAGCCCCGCTAGGTAGACCAGACCAGAAAATCAACTCCACAGGAAGACTAGAACTATACTTTACTGAAATAGGCTATAACAACACACTCTTGCAAGTCTGATTGTGTTATACCTCCCCTCCTCCTACTCCAGTGAATCAGGGCGGCGTCTGCCTAAGTCACTTCCGAATGTTATCTTGTTGTTCTGGACTTAAAACATGTTTTACCCCTTTTGTCTAGGTCAGTGTTTCTCAACCTTGGCAACTTTAAGATATGTGACTTCAACTCCCAGAATTCCCCAGCCAACATGTGTGGACCTCAGCTCCTATAATTCCCCAACCAGTATGGGTGGACTTCAACTTGCAGCATGCTGGCTGGGGAATTCTGGGAGCTGAAGTCCACATAACTTAAAGTTGCTAAGGTTGAGACATGGTCTAGGTGACAGTTCCTGCGTCTTTCTCTTACTCATATCCCTCACTCTCTACAAAAGCTGACGTTCTTAACTTCTTCCTCAATAGAGGAAAACATAGGCTTATGGTTCTGAAACCCAAGAGATGTTTGTGATTAATGGTGTTGTGTCATACTCAGTGGCCTTCCCCAACTGATATTCCTTCTAGGGGCATATAACCTATGCTCCCCCCACTGGTATTTTGCTGCATAATTATTGGAGCATGAAAACAGGCACGTTAAGCCTCTTAATACATCCATTTTGCAATGATCCTCGGAGCTCCTGACAATCTCAGTTGCACGGTCTAACATGCACTGATGCCCACTACAGCTGTCAGAGAACCTCCTCAAAGTCTCAGTGCAGAAGGGCATTCTGAGTGTGAACTAGGGCAATAGTTTAAAGCCAAGCCTAAAGTTAGTTTAGGGGACATGAGTCATGGGGGCCACTGAAGAGTCAACAGCATGGCCTTTTCCACTCAAAGGACTCTGTTGGAGTATCTGAGTCAGGATGGGAGTTTTCCTGCATGACGGAGCCTCACCTCTGCTGGGGTCATCTCGCCCACTGGATCAAATTCTTCCTGAAAGAGAAAGAGAGAGAGGGATATTTACCACCGCTAAGCAGCAGAGACCTAGCATGTGGGGAAGGGACATCAAGCGTGCCTGGGCACTGCAAGGGGGTGAGGCCCAGCAGCCTGGGTTGGTGACTAAGAGGTAGCGACTGCAGTCAAACCAGAAGAATCAGGAGGTAGCCAGAGAACTGTACAGCTCTGTATGGACAAAGGGGGCCAAAGGCTCATGCTCCCCTTAATTTAAAGCGGGGCCTATTCACAAGTTACGTTCAATGTGGTAAAGCCACCACAAGGTAATTTTTACCATGCCAATATTGCACAATAAATACGTTGTCTCAATGTGCCCTCGTGTGGCAAGAGCTGGTATTTACATTATCAGATGAAATCCTTCTACCACTCCCTTGCCCTCGTCACACAAGGACTTCTTTATAGGCCTAGCTGGACCATTTGGATTGCAAAGCAATTTTCTTACCGGGACGGACACTGAGGCCTGACCACTAGGCTCCCGTTTGGGCATGACAAGCCCCTTGATTGACTGCAATGTTCCCTGCCTCACTGACAGGTCTCAGATGCCCTCTGTGCTGGAGTGTTGCGACATGCTCAACATGGGGCAACCCTTGGAAAGGGTTATACAATAGGTTGCAACTGGTGGAAAAAATGGCAGGTAGATCGTATGATGTTTGTCCTGAAAGCGTAGGCATTAAGGCAGTGTTTCTCAACCTTGGCAACTTTAAGATGTGTGGACTTCAACTCAATTCCAAGGCCTCAATTCAGTGTTTCTCAACCTTGGCAACTTTAAGATGTGTGGACTTCAACTCAATTCCAAGGCCTCAATTCAGTGTTTCTCAACCTTGGCAACTTTAAGATGTGTGGACTTCAACTCCCAGAATTCCCCAGCCAGCATGGCTGAAGTCCATACATCTTAAAGTTGCCAAGGTTGAGAAACACTGAATTGAGGCCTTGGAATTGACCTTTAAATAACTGAATTATTTAGGGCCTGCACATGACAATTTCAGACAGTGTTGCTCTCTGTTGAAATCTGCAGGTGAGGCCCTTCTGCAGATGTGCCCAGAGGCAACGGGAAAAGGACTTCTCCTGTGTTGCTCCCAAGCTCTGGAAAGCATTTCCTTGGGAACTGTGCTGGCCCCCTTTTCTCAGTAGTTAGGAAATCTGTAAACATGTCTCTTTTTCCTCAGGCTTTTTCGATGAGTGTCATTATCAACTGAAGTGTTAACGAGAACATTAAAAAATATGTTTGGTTTTTGTCAGTTTTATTAAGTTGGCAAAGTAGAAAGGCGGAATGGAAATCAAATATATGAATGGATCCATAGCATGTGCTATGAATGGACTTCTAAGTCTTTAGCAGCCGCAGTTAAATGTATGGTGTGAACCGTGGCTGAGTTCACATGACACACTGACCCAGATCAGGCAAAGATCTAAGAGATGCCTCCATGAACTTGGTAAGTTGGGTTTGCTCATTGGTTTGATGAGCAAACAAATTTGTTCAGTGTGTTGTGCTAGTCCCACCTGTTTATGGTTCAGTGCATTATGCAAACCCACATTATGGATGAAATCAATAACCGGGTTAAGCATGTCGTGTGAATGCAGCACAAGGATCTCCTGAATCTTATCTTCTCCTAGGTCCATGTGTTTTCGCCTGTTTGTCACAGGTCTCACAAGGGTTCTAGAGAAATAGTTCCTAATGCAAACAGTTGCACGTAAGAAAGTGCAATGCCTCCTCTTCAAGGGCTGAAATGTTTCAGAAAATACTGGAATGTTCCATTATTTTTTATTCCCACTGTTCCAGGGACATACAAGCAAATTTCCTAAGAGTATGCAGAACGCTTCCTTCTAGAAAACTAACAGGCCGTCTCTGGAACAGCTGAAGTGGCATGGTCCGGAAAGAAAATGGAAATTTCTGGCATTCCCTGGAATGCTAGGCTGCGGACATCCCTAATCTGAAGATGCTATGCGGCTACTCTGTTAAGGAGAGAAACTTGTTTCCCCTGGTTTTAAAAAAGACAAAAACAGCAGTGGGAAACAGGGCAGGGTAATAAATGGAAGATACCCTTGCCTGTATTCCTGTAAATTCAGTGATGTTTATGCAATTACACAAGACTTGAGACCCCTCTTTGATACAAGGCAACTTCCCGGTCCCTGTCCTCTGGATACAACTCTAACTGATCAAGGACCTTTTCCGAATGCGGTGCCTTGAATCATACCCAAGACCTTTGCAGAATCCAGGGGAGTGACTTTGTTATCTGATGCTTCTGTCAATATAGCCTAATGTTGTATTAGCATCTTTAGCAACTCAACTGCATCACTGTGGACGTCACAGTGAAGATTTAACTGCAAAGAGCTATGTTTGTTGAACCAATTTCTCTTTTGAAAATGCATTCTGGACGTCAAGATTCCTGTACACCCAGGAATCTGTTTCATATGTTTCTTGCAAGAAAATGAAGCATCATAAACCAAACTAGGATAAAAAGCTTGAATAGCCAAAATTCACCCAGCAGAATATCTCCATTTCAGCCCATTCACAATCTTGTTAGAGACAGGCAGAGAATTACCAAAATTACTTTCACGTCGCAGATTTATTTTCAGGATAGAAAGATGGAAAAAGTGCAAATGAGGCAGAGAAACTAACACTTCTGAGGCAAGAATGAAGGCAACAAATATTTATGATTGGCTGTTCCAGATAAGATGACTTTATAAATCAACTAGTATGTCAAAGGGAGAGAGGTTTGTTTCAGGCTGCTGCAAAGAGAAAAACACAATCAAAACAGGAGGCTGAACTGTGCTGAAGGCACTTGAGGTTGAGATGCATTACAGCAATGTGTCTCAGCCTTAGCAACTCTAAGATGTGTGTGGTTCTTCAACACATTTTAAAGTTGCCAAGGTTGAGAAGCACTGTATTAGGGGAATTCTAACATTTGCTCTAAACAATCCTGAATTTGGTTCTCCCATACAAACCATCCTGCAAGAATGCCAAGCATATTGCTCCAAGTGTTGGATAGCCCGATGCTTTTGGGAAGCACAAAAACAGCTGGAATTTCCCCAATGTCTGGCACTATAGATACTCCGTTTGAACTGGAGTCCTATTTAGCTCCCACAATTAAGCGTGCACTGCGTGTGCCTCTTCATCGGTAGATGTGGCAAGTTATTTTCTATAGATCTTTGTTTGCACAGTATTGTGTGAGCACAGTTGGAGTAAAACGGTGCTTTGGTTCTTTACATGTACTGGGCAAACTATAGCTATGCTGGTGGATACGGTCCTTATCATTGGGAAAAAATATTGCTAAAGGACTGAGCGAAAGGGGAAGACCAAGAAAGTTATGGTGGGGTAGAGTTGATGGGATCCTCCACAAAAATAGAGAGGAGAGAATTTTAAAGAACAACAGGTCACATGGGGATGTGGTATAAGCAAGGATGATTTGCAAGATAAAATGGTATGGAGAAATATAATAAATGGTATTGCTGTAAACCAAATTTAGTTCTATTTCCCTTGCCTATCTTAGGCTCTTAATTTCTTTAGCTTATTTCTTACTCCTTTCCAGCACTTTGCGTAACATGGCTTCCCCAAAGGGCACTGCATACTGGTTTGTATGGTATGAACATATATTATCATGTTACCTAGTTGGGTAATGGCACTGATGACATTACCTAGTTGAGTAATGAAACGTCTGCAAGCAAACCACCAGGCTCAGAGAGTACCAAGGACTCCACATATATCATTAAATAACTGGCCAAATTTTCTGCTGCTTTAAAAAAAATTCATTTCAACTACTGGTGCTCACTAGATCTTACAGTATCAGTATGCTGGTCTATGGCCATTATAAAGATCTGAGTTGACCTGATTACAGTCTCGAGAGCGTTTTCATAGGTTTGGTATGCGTTGCATAAAGAAATGCTTTCTTTTGTCAGCCCCCAACCTATTACACATCAAACCTTCACTGTATGACCCTCCAGTCCCACCCCTACATTTTAGGACCAGAAGTGGGACTGGTCCTTTCAGGTTTACGAGATAATTACTCCACTTTAACAAAGAATGATTCAGGGGCGTCCCCAAGAGGGAGGTATCAAGAAAGTCAAGATGGTACTTGCAATTACTGGATCAAAACCCCACAATCAGGTAAAAAAGTGATGGGGCTTTGATTTACCATTTTTACATTTTTTAACACCCACCCACACCCAGATATATGTAGGACGGAAGGAAAGGAACTCAAATTCGGACTTTTCATTCCAGAGGGCAAGTTCTCTTGAGATGGAGAGCTTTGTTCATAAGCCCTGAGGACCCCAAACCTTCAGCACAGTCCTAACCTTCTACAGCCACCTTAAAGGCAAATCTAGTTTCCAGTTCCTCTGATTTTTGGAAGGAGAGGGATGGATATGGAGCGGCCCACACTTACCACCACAGAAATGCGGACGCGTTTCGACTTGTGCTTTTCGGACACACTCGAATTCTCCTCCTTTTAATTTTTACCAGGAGAACAAAACAAATGGGGGGAGAGAGAAAACAATTACAGGAGGGGAATGGCTAGGCGGGGGCAAGTCTGCCATGTCAGGGAGTGAGCAGAGGCCTGGGAGGTGAAGACTTTTTGCTCAAAGATGCAGCGGGATGGGGGGATAAAAACAGGGGACTCACCTCTGTCGACTCTGCTGTTGAGTTGTTGGCGCAAAAAAGGTTCCTCAAGGTGATCCCTGGAGTCTCTGTCATCCCGGCTGCCCCCAAAGAGAGAGACCCCACAATTAGTCAGAGGGTAGCTGGGAGGGAACGCAAGTCCCGCGTTGTGCGGAGGACTAGATTCTTGAAGCTCACAGTTAGAGACAAATGCACGCAGGCAGTTTGGGAAGCAGAAAGGCCCTCTGAGGTCAAGCTGCGTAGTTTGCCTTGCAGTGTGGAGAACTCAGTGGGACTGTTTAAGAGCAAAAGAGCTTTTCTGTCACCTGAAGGGTTTTCCGATAAAGTGCTGGGGACCCGTTTCAGAGCCGGCTTCAGGGGTTTGCGGGATTCGCTTTGTGGAGGGAGGAACGAGGATTCCTCTGGCACAATCTGTTTGGAGAAGAGGCAGGAAAAAGAGGAAATTAGAAAGGGGCTTGACTCCAGCTCGGTTGCTCTGCACCCCAGTAGGATGGCAGTAGGCCACTATGCGGCTGTTCCCCATTTCGCAACGGTTTTTAGTTCTTTACGGAACTGAAGGTGTTGGCAAAGTCACCCTTAGTTTAGAGAAGGGGCCTTGGTCACCTGAAAGCGCACTCCCATGTCTGGCACGTGGTGCGGCTCCTTGCCTTCCTGGCTCTTCTCGGGGGCCCGGTGCTCCAGCTGGGCTTTCTCCTGCATAAACTGCCGGCGGCGAACGTAGCTCAGCTGGTCGTTGAGGAGGGAGTCAATCTGAGCGCGGTCAACGGATCCTAGCAGGATCATGGATTCTGCAAAGAGAACCCAATGGAATCAATTTTCTGGACCAAGGACAAATGGTGGACGCAACACGCAGGCTGCATTCACGCCACATACTGTATTTAGCCAAGTCAGGTAAAGTCTTAGGAGACACATTTGCCAGCATGCTAAGCTGGCTTAGTTTTATCCTTGACTTCCAGCTTAGCAAGTTGGGCAAACCCAAACCATTTCTGGTTCCATCAACTGGGAGAACTAAAAAATGGGTTAATTCTCTGTTTTTGAAATAATCCAAAGGTAGAGATAAAGTTTAGTAGAGAGGCAAGGAGACTCAGAGGATATTGGCTGTGACGTCTGCTGCCTAGGAAATTGGTGCAAGGTGGATTTATGTACGTGAAGCTCTTTCATGAGAGGGAAAATCCTGCCCCATTGAAGCTCTCTTGTCATTTGGAAGCTCTCTTCTTCATCCCATTTATTTGGTCGTGCACAGCTCCCGTTCGTAGCAGGAAGATTGCCCTAACCCCCTGCTGCACATGAAATGTAACTTTGCTTGCTCCTCCAAAGGCCAAACTATTGCTACAAGGATTGTTGCAAAGTTGAATTGCACACACAACGGGGCTGCAGAGGAATGGAAAGCTTCCTGTCCTTTCCACAGCAAGTCTGAAGTCGCTGTGCTTAAAGCCTCTCCATTATATTCAGAGATAACAGATTGTACAAATACCACAGAACAGGTTGAGGAGAGATGCCCTCATGTTCCAAAACTTACAAAAAGGTCCTGAACTAAGGAACGGGCAAAAGAGGGTTGTTGAACATCTCACCCTGCTCTATGTGTTGCTTGTCAGAATGATAACGTATCTCAGCATTGCTTTTGCAGTTGGTAACATTAGATATCATAGCCCAATTTTGAGTATATATCATCAAGTCATTCCTGACTCTTAGCAACCACATAGACAGACTTTCTCCAAGAAATCCGTCCCTAACCTGATCCTTCAGGTCTTCTAACAGTGCACCCATCACCACCATAGCTAAGTCCCTCCACCTTGCTGCTGGTCGTCCTCTTCTTCTCTTTCCTCCCCCATTAAACAAACCAACCCAGAGTTCTCACTCGAGGCACAAATGACAGATTGTACAAATACCACAGAACAGGTTGAGGAGAGATGCCCTCATGTTCCAAATTATCCTGCTTTGGACACACTATGTGAAGACCCAGCTCTCTGGAGAAGGCTCCGATGTTGGGAAAGGTGGAAGGAAAGAGAAGAAGAGGATGATCGCCAGTTTGTTTTCTTGGCTCTCCAAGGTATTCTCAGGAGTCTCCTCCAACACCAAAATTCAAAAGCATCAATACTATGGGCATGATATTAAGACTTGGTCAATAGAGTCTCCCCAGAAGATTTTATTGATGCAGCCACTTTAGTGGGCTTTGCCTGGTTTTCTCACTTCAAACCAACAGGTGGGTGTATAAATCTTCCTGTGAATGCCAACATGGAAGATTCTGCCTAGCATGAGTTGAGGCAGGGGGCTGATGTGATTGCCCAGCCCTTCATTTCTGTACTCTTTGCTTTCCAGACCTAGGAGGAGGAGAGCCGCCTTTGTTAGTTTCTAGTAGCAAAAAAATCAGGAGGAGTCTAGTAGCGCCTTTTCCAACTAACAAATGTTATTAGAAGGCATACGTTTACATGGGCTCACATCTGTTCATGAAATCTGATAAAACGAGTTGCAGTCACAAAAGCTTCTGCCTTTTAATGAAAGCTGTTAGTCGGAAAACGTGCTACCGGACTCCTGCCTCTTTGCCTTTCAGCAACCTTTGGACTGACGTAAGCCACCAAAACCCAAATAGAGTCTCTCTGCTGCAGTTTAGGGTCCCCTAGATAATGGAGGTCAAACTAAAGCAGGCTGCTGTCGTCCACACTCAGAGACGTTTCTGGAGATAACACATTCCCTACATCTTAAAGGCCTACAGCACTGGGCACCAGAAGCAGAGTCTTGACCACACATCAAGACATTGATGGACATTTTTAACCCCCCACCCTGAATGAATGAATGAATGAATGAATGAATGAATGAATGAATGAATGAATGAATGGCTCAGGAAAGGCCTCTATTTGAGGTCAGGCAAAGCAGGGGTGATTAGAGACTTCACTGTATAGAATTCAACCATCTCCACTCTTCTATTCAACAATAGCAGAATTGATTCAGGACCCTTCCAGATGCTGGAAGATGCTGGATATTTTACTGTTCCGTAAACAGAAGGGTTTTCTAAGCAGAATTCAGCACCCTGAAGATCTCCGCCTTTGTTACTGTCATTGCTTCTGACAATTTAAAATTTTGTAGCCACCCTGGGGACAAGGTAAGGAAAAATCCCTGTCCTTTTCCGCTCTTCCTGTGAGATGCAGACTAAACAAAACATGGGCAAAACTACTAATTTGGATGACTAATACGGGGCCGCAATTGTTGGTAATTCTTTGTAAGAGAAGAACAGATGCGGTTCAAAGCACAGCTGGGAGAGGCTCTGTTATGCCAGTGCAGGAAGCAAATCGTGGTGGGGAGACCTGGGGCGGTGGGTAAGAGCATGCAAAAAAGTCCAAAGGCTGGATCAGGCCAAGGGCTCGTGTAGGTCAGCATTCTGGGTCCCACAAGGCCCATCTAATGCATCGGAGAAGGAAACAATCCTCTTCTACTGTAGTTCTCCAGGAGCTGATGCTTAAGATATACTGCTTGTAATTCTGGAACCACAACACGTGAGTCTCTACACCAGTGTTCCTCAACCTGGGGAACTTTAAGATGTGTGAACTTCAGCTCCCAGAATTCTGGGTGGGGAATTCTGGGAGTTGAAGTCCACACATCTTAAAGTTCCCCAGGTTGAGGAACACTGCTCTAGACTGGAGAATGCCCGCCATCATTTGGAAGAACATCTGCCTATGTGCTTCGTAAGGAAGGAAAGCAAAATCTGGAAGGCCATGAAGGCATGTCTGGTGCCTCACGACTGATCTGGTCCATCTCATCTTGGATTTCTACTACAAGCAAGGATAAACTGGGCCTTCAAGGAGAAAACATATCAGCAATCCATATCGATTGCTGATCTTCTCCGAACCACCTGCATTGGTCTTTCCTTCTCCATCCAAACTTTGCAAATTGCCATGGCAACCTGTCATTTTCTGTTGCCGTGGTTGCTGTAAATGAGGGCTGCAAATAGCAGGAGCCAGCAGTGTCACTGCAGAAGAGCTGGAAGAGGGTGCAAAGTGAGGGGGCTCAGGGATGGGGTGGAGAATCAAGCCCCCCTTGTTTTATAAATTGCTACGGAGGAGGGAGGGCGCAGGTCATTCCGTGACAGTTAGCACCTGGCTGGCCTTGGAAGCCACACCGAGTCAGCCTAGTTAGTACCTGGATGGGAGGCCACCAGGAAATTCTCTAGGCTGCAGGCTAGTCCAGAAAGTTGAAAAAAGCATTTCAGAAAAAGGAAACAATTGCAAGAAAATGCATGGATGTATTTACGGAATCAGCAGGGACTGCGGTGGACTCAAGGAAGCCTTCACCTTTTCAACATCGGAATGAGAGAATTATGTGGCTGTAAACATCCAGAGGGACAATGCGCCGATGCCCAAATCCAGTGTGCGAGTTCATGCATGTAAGGGCACCTGCACGAACTAAGCTGAGCCTCTCTAAATTTCTGACTCCAAGGTCCAAAAGTGGATAGCACAATGAAATATTTAAGTTACGTGCATCGTGTTAGGTCTGCTGGGCACTTGGATACCAAAGGATCTCAGAATGTGATTTATTTGGAACAGTTTCCCATGACAGAGAGAAAACATAAGTGACCAGGGACTGGGGCTATGAAGGGCATTTAGCACATTCTGCTCTTCAGAGGTGACAACATTTTCAGCAGCATTTCTCAGTGCATTCTTGGATTTGGCCCAGAGCAGCCTAGGAGGATGGTGGTAGACCAAGAGGGCTGAATCCTTTTTGGCACTTTTCAGAAGAATCAGACCAGAGAAAGACTTAGCAACTGCATTTCCACAACATGCTAGGCTTAGTTAGCGTTCCTGTTGGTGGTTGGCTTTTACAGCATAGCATCTTTTATGAAGATGCTTTTATAACCTCTTGGTTAGCTGATGGTTCAATGTATTGTGAGAACGCAGAGTATTAGTTAAGAAGTCGGTTCAGTGTGTTTTGTGAAGATTGGCACAGAATTACTGCAAATGACTTTACATTGTAAACCAGATGCTCAGGTGGTGTGCTATCCTAAACCTTTTCTCTCCAAAATACTGGGTTTCAACTCTATGAAAGCGTTGTAAAATCAAATAGAAAAGGGGCAAAAGGAAGATTGTTTTATACAAGTGCAAAGGAAGATTGTTTTTCTTCCTTTGTTATATTTCATATAATCAAAAAACACAAGGGAGGGAGGGAGGGAGGGAGGGAGGGAGGGAGGGAGGGAGGGAGGGAGGGAGGGAGGGAGGGAGGGAGGGAGGGAGGGAGGGAGGGAGGGAGGGAGGGAGGGAGGGAGGGAGGGAGGGAGGGAGGGAGGGAGGGAGGGAGGGAGGGAGGGAGGGAGGGAGGGAGGGAGGGAGGGAGGGAGGGAGGGAGGGAGGGAGGGAGGGAGGGAGGGAGGGAGGGAGGGAGGGAGGGAGGGAGGGAGGGAGGGAAGGAGGGAGGGAGGAAGAGGGAGGGAGAGAAAGAAGGAAAGACGGAAAGAAGGAAGGAAGGAAGGAAGGAAGGAAGGAAGGAAGGAAGGAAGGAAGGAAATCAGTCAATGGTGCTCAAAACTGGAAAAGGTTTTGTTGAAAATGTTGAGATTCTGCTCCAAATGATGATTAAATACCATAATATATGTTCTGTGACAGAATGGATACATGCACACAAACCATTTCGCCCAGTTCCTGAATTAACCAATTTTCTGGGGTTGCACAATACACTGAACCATAAACTAATCAAATAGTCTGGATTCACACAAGCTACCTAAAAGTTAACCAAGATTAACACTATTAAAGTTTAGCATGTTGTGCAGATGCAGGCACGAGGCCTTTAACTGACTTGGTTCAGTGTGTTGTGTGAACGCAGCTGATGAAGTCCTTGTCTTCCCAGTTGAGAGTATCAACACCCAGCTCCGTAAGGATGCTCAAGGGATAATACAGAGGCGAGGTCAGATGTGCCATAGTCTAGTGGAGAACCTTTGTTGCCATCATGTCCTTCTGGCTGAATAACACAAAAACAACTAATCAAGCTTGATCTAAAAGGAACTTTAAAAATATCGCGTTGCCAATTATGTTTTGAATGGACTAATCCCCACCACCCACCCATCTTGCTTCCAATTCAGCTACAACTTGAAGCCTTTTGATTTTGTTATAATTTGGACTAAATGATGTCAGTAGCTTTTCTGTTGACTCACCAATCGATAAAGCATTAGGAAAATAGCACATTGCATCAGCTCCTTTGGAAGAGGCGTTGGGACAGATGCGGAGTATCTATATTTGTCACAATGGAAAAGGCACTCGGCTGTATGTGGGCACCGCTTTTTATCTGCCACCTCTGTTTAAGCCTCCGAACGCTCAGGAGACGCAACTCCAGAAGCCGTCAAAATGGACGTGCTAACGCTCCAAGACGGGGCCCTTCCTCCCTCACCAGCTCTTCCTTGTAGAATTTCAACACTGGGAAGCCCAAATTTGCATGAAAAGGTCTCTGCGGGCAACTGCTTGACCCCAGACCTTTGGAATTTCAAGGGCATGGGACGGGCACGTTGGCCATGAGATTCTTGTTGCCTACTCTTGGCTCAATTCAAAGTTCATCCTTTTCTACTAAACCCTTAGGAACCAAATACACCAACTCGCTAGCTAAGTTAGGGATTTATTACTTCTTTTTCTGCTCAGGTCTTTGTTACTGTGGCTGTAGTGAAGGAACAACAGTCAGGCGTGCAAGACTCCAGCTGAGGCTGATGCCATACAGTCCAATCGTGGGTCTGTGCTGGTCAGACTAAGGCCTGGTTGTAAAGAGTAGAGTGGGGGGAGTTCATTCTTGCCTGCAAAAGGCGACTGTGAGTTCTACAGCTTCCTGAGCCCTTCCCACCTCCCCACCGGCCTGCCCATCCTTTTCTCTTACCGGCTGATTCCACCAGAGCTAGGCTTTTCATCTTGGTGCTGTGCAACACCTCCTGAAGGTCCCAGTACCTACAGTTCAGGGTGATGTAGCGCACGTCGCGCACCATGATGTCCTCAACGCGCACATTGTACTTCCTGAAAATGCAAACAAGCTGGTTGGGTTCACAAGCTTAACGTGATTATTGATTTAACCCACTGTCTGGATTTCTCCCGCGCACTGAACTGTAATGAACTAAATGGTTTTTTTTTAATTAGAATTTTTCAATACAATAAAAGTATACAGAATTAAAAGATTAAGGGAAAAAATATAGAAAATAAGAAAAAATGAAATGAAACGAAACGAAACGAAAAAAGAAAGAAAACATAGATTTAGCCTTTCCCCTCTTTGACCCTTTTTAATCCCCCAATCCATAAATCATCAATTCAGTCTTTTCTTCTTTCAACAAAAAGTCCTATAAGGCTTCCAGTCTTTTAAAAAAATCTTTATTGTTTTTTTCCCTGACCAATGAAGTAAATCGGCTGGATTCAGACAACATACTAACACTGGAAAAAGAACTTGGGTTAATGTTAACCAAGGTCGGTGTGCTGTGTGAATGCATTTGCTAGGTCTTCGTCTGATCTGGGTGTGACATTACAGGCACTTTACTGCTCTTTAAAGAAACGTTCTCCTTCCCTGGGCATATTTTAAAGGGTGAAATGGCTTGCTTCAAGCACTCATTTCTTCTGATTAAAAATATCCTAGGCTGTCTTTCCCAGGTTTTGAGGAGCGAAATGGGTGTCTTAAATTGCTGCACACCCACTTTGATCTTTCATACTTTGGCCCTCTAAAAATAGTCTCATTTGTCACCCTGCTGCACTTTGCAGAGGCAAAACTGTTAAAAAAATAAGTGTCATCCTCATCTTCAAGGAAACTGTGCACCTTGGTTCTAGGGAATCCTGCAGGGTTGTAAGGTCTGTAACAACAGCGAGGAATTGGGCAGTTGCAAATGATGGTTTCCACGAAGCTTTGGCACCAGCAATAAAGGCTAAGGTGGTAGAACACCAACATGGGTGTCCACCTAAAAGCTAATAAAGAACTCTGGATTCGAAAGAGAAATCAGACAAGAAGCTCAGAGATCCTTTGACATGATTGCTTTGCGCTCTGTATCAAGCTCCCTGCAGCATCGCAGCACTGAGGATGGATCTCGCCTGTTTCCAGGCACACTTACTCCTGATGCCCCCAACCCAACTCTGGCAAGTATGGCAGCTTCTTGATCCGGATAATGCTGTCGTAGAGGGAGGGCTGCAAGCTCTGGGCCACGGCGTTAGCCAAGATCACTGCAATCATAACTGGCAGGATGTGCGAGATCTGGCCTGTCAGCTCGAAGACGATGACCGCAGTGGAGACCGTGTGGGTGACAGCACCAGAGAGGGCAGCTGCACCTGTGGAGGGAGGGAGCCATGTCAACGAAGAGCAGGATCATTTTCTGCAGTTGGGCAGATGACATGCTGGAAGGCCAGACTGACCCAACATTTGTGGCTCAGCAGGTCCACATTGGGAGACCTTATTGAAGGTAATCTTTCAAATTGGTTGTCATACTGGGCAGACTGGGCTGACCCAACAGTTGAGCCCTTGGGACATCTAGAGAATTTATCATGAGTCGCCCAGAGTACAGGTAGTCTTTGCTTAACGATAGTAATTGGAAGTGGGTTACTAAGCGACGTGGTTGTAAAGTGTGACATCATATGACTGTGCCGACTTACAACAGCAGTTCTAGCAGTTCCGGTTATGGTTGTTAGGCGAATCCTGCATGGTTGTTAGGCACAATGTCACATGATCACTATTGGCAATCTCCTGCTGGTTTCCCCATTGACTTTGCTTGTGGGAAGCCGGCAGGGAAGATCGCAAATGGCTATCACGTGACCATGGGAAGCTGTGACCGTTGTAAGTGCGAGCCGATTGCCAAGCGCCCAGATCGCAATCATGTGCTGCAATAGCCACAACTTCGAGGACTGGTCATAAGTCTCCTCGTTCAGCGCCATTGTAACTTTGAATGGTCGCTGAATGAATGGCCATTAACCAAGGGTTACCTGTAGTTGAGAGTCAGGTGGCATACAAGTCAACTGAAGGATAAGCTAACTATATGGGCCAGGTTGGTACAAAATGTCAATTCAGAAAAAATCAAACTGAGGTTAAAATTCACTGTCGAGCCCTTAGTAGCCAAGTACAACCCACAAGCAAGGTTCACAATGAAACTCATTATTTAGGTTTATTGTCAAGAAGATAATATACAGAATCTTGGAAACTGAGGACACCTAAATTCTGATCTTTCTTTCTCTCTCTCTCTCTTGAATTTATAAGGTCACCCATCTCGCTTGCATGTGACTCTAGGTGGCATACATACCTAAACGCAAGTAACAATTACAACGTGACATCATTAAAAACAGCTAAAAACAATTAAAACATTTATTGGCGAAGTCATTGGGGTGGGGTCTCCAAAAGCTATTTGAACCTCTTTCTGCCAATTTGTGAGACTGAAGGGCTAAGGGTCCTTTTCCCCTGTGAGACTGACATTGAAACACCCCTCTGCTTGTTATAATTTACGTTCTGAGATACTCCTCTTTCTTTAGTAGCCCCAGAGATACCTCCACCAACCAAACTATTGTGTGAACGCAACTGCTAATTCTTTAACTGAGTTGGTGAAGCACGTGTCTCTGTGATTGTGCTGACGGAGCCAATCCTCCTGAAATCTTCTGGAAATAAAAGGAGAAAAGTTGCCTCTTACCCACCACTGCGTAACCTCCTGGCACAATGCGGTAGATGTTGCTGTCGGTGTGAATGCCATCTGGGAACCACGCTGCCATGCTCTCTCCCATCAGCCTCCCAAAAGCTGCGCCTATGCCGAGAGAGGGAAAGTCAGAGCTGTGGGAGAGGAGCCGATAGATAGATGAGGGCTTTTCTCTGCTCTTCAGATGAATCAATTTTCTGGGTCTGCAGGGCCCAAAGGAAACCCACTGGCTGGCTTCCCACAAGACAAATCCCCTCCCCACCCTCCAACAAACCACCTTCAACACTCACCACCTTGAACATGAAATCAAAAGGAGTCCAAGTAGCACGTTTTCTGACTAACAACTTATATTAAAAGACGCATCTAATGAATGCGTACCCCACTTCATCAAATGCCTTTGAATAAAATGTATTAGCCAGGATAGGTTTGACCAGACTCCTCCTGGTTTTCTGCTCTCATAGACTAACACAGCTGTCTTCCTACAACATCTTGAACCTGTTGTACAAATACAGCTGTTGGGACTTTAGGAGAGCTGGTCTGAGTTGATGTGTAACCCCATCCTATCACCCAAGTGGCATCAAAGAAGCCTGCCTCTTTCTGCTGAAAGGCTTTGTGATGTACTCTCTTCTATTGAGACTTTGTGCCAGATGTCCATCTCAGCCTTTGGAGTGCAGACACCCCGGCCCCAAATCGCCCCAGAGCTTTGAAATCTGGGACCCTTAAAATTAAAAAAAACAATCATAGCATTGGGGTGGTGGTGATAATGAATCTAAAATCCGTACGTGAGAACCTCTGGGCTTCTTAAAAATGTTACTGCAGATTGCAGAGGGAGAGGGAGCCAGTTTTTAGGCAGAAAAAAAAAAAGAACAGAGTGCCAGGGCATCTTAAACCCTAACAAATTCATAGCTAAGATACCAAAACAAGCATTTTTCTCACCCGGGGTGACCTCCAGAGGACTCAAAACCCTACAGAAAGCAAAAAGAGCAATGAACGTGGGGCTCTGATTCCCACGGCAGCAGAAATGACCCACCGATGCCTAATAAGATGACAGCGTGGGCCTAAGTTCCCTTCAGCAGTCCTGCTGGCCCCTGACCAGGTGAGTTTCTTCTTAATCAGTCATTAGCAAAGCTGCGCTGAGTGTCAGATTTGATTTTGAAAAGATGCTCTGGAGCATGTAAAGGCGCAAGTGTAGTAGCATTGCAAAAAGGCGCTTCAGCGCATGCGGGAACATCAACCATGCGGTTCATGCTCCTGCACACACTGAAATACCTTTTTGGAATCAGGACAAAGCCTTGCATACGTTTTGCTGGAAGGGACACTGCATTTCCCTGGGAAATGTAAGGCTCTGATGCAAGGCAATATCAAGAAAAGATGCAGCGTCACGGTGTGTGGCAAAGAATGAGGGAGGAAAAGGCACAGGGACTCAGCTCACCGATGACAAAGACTGGCATGAATGCCCCGCAAGGCACTGGGATGGTGGTAGCCAAAGCTGACATCCAGAACTGAAGGAAGACAGAAAGACAAATGTTGATTAGCGGGAGGGGTGTGGTCTTCTATGGTGGCTTCCTGGGTTTGGGGTCTTCCAGGTGGTTTAGACTACGATTCCCATCACTCCCAGCCAGCAGATCTGTTGGTCGCATGGGTTACAGGGCTGGGGCTGATGCAGATGTTGTCTTATGTATCTGGAAGGCACTGAGTTCCAGAAGGCTGGAAATGGGAAGCCAGGATAGAAAAGGGACTCCAACTGGGGATGGGAAAGCAACTAGATAGAGCCCAGAGTCGCTCTACGGTGAGGTGGGCGGTGACAAATTTGAAATATAAAAGAAGTAAATAAATAGAAATAGTTGGTCTGTAACAGCACTGCCAGCTTGAAAGGAACTGAAATAATCTAGGATTTTTTTTTTCTTGTCTACCTGAACTACTGGAACTGGTATTTATGGAACTGTGATTAACGAACATTATCAAGTCGCTACATTAACATACATCCAAGATGCATAGAGAAAAGAAGAGATATAGAAAATACCAAAAAAAATCTACTAAAATGTACACAGACAGGTAATGTACACATACAAATTTACCATATAGGTAAAGTATTACAGTACGATATTATAGTCCAGTGTTTCTCAACCTCAGCAACTAAGATGGGTGGACTTCAACTCCCAGAATTCTCCCAGCCAGCATGGCTGGCTGGGGG